CTCGATCCCAGGACCCTGGGATCATGACCTGAGCCAAAGGCAGACGCTTAACGACTGAGCCACCCAGGCGCCCCAAGAATTGGGATTTGTTTATAGTCCTAACTAGTTCTCTGAATCTATGATTCATTTTGTTAACTTAAAATTACATGTGTGCTTGGAACTGCCTTGTCATAAAAACTGTTAAGTAGTGAATATAGTTGGTTTTGGGGGTATCTTTGATCTTTAATGACTTCTATTTATTAACTTTTCATTTACTAGAGAATTGATATTACTCCCTAAACAATGATTATTTTGAAAGGATTGTTTGAGAAAAGAACAAAGAAAAGAAATGTAAAATTTTCATGGTTAAGACTTCTATTTTAACATATAATCAGAGCAAAATCTACTTTCTGAAGTTATTCTCTCATTAATGTTAGTGAATATGTTTATTGTGCGTTTGGGTAGTCAAGATTGGATGTCTGATAAATAGTACTGGTAAGGGAGTATAGAAGTCCTCATTCCATTTCAGCACTGTCAAAGAAAAGAAAAGAAAGAAAAGCATTTTCCGGAGTTGTTTATTTGTACCTGAGTTTACTATTTTTTTAAAAATTATTTCTCAGTATTATTTTTTAAATTTTATCTCAAAGCTTTATTGAGATATAATTTACATAATATAAATTCACTCATTTAAAGTGAACAATTCAGTGGTTTTGGCATGTTGCCAGGGTTCTGCAACCATCACCATCACCTGATTTTAGGACATTTTCATCATCCCCAAAAGAAACCTCATACCCTTTGGCAGTCACTCCCAATACCCTGCTTGCCATAGGCAACCATTAATCTACTTTCTGTCTCTGTAAATTTGCCTACTTCTGAGTTTACTATTTTAGTTTAGTAACCTGTATGACTTTAAATGCTATCTACTTATCTTAGTAGAATTGTTAAAATCTATTAAAAGATCTGAACACCTTGCTTTGGAACTACTATAGCTTGGACCTGGCCTGATGCTTTGAACATTGAAAATTCAGACTCTGAATCATGGACTTCCAACACTGTAAAAAAATTTACTGCATCATTTGAAGCATCACTTTCAGGAGAAAGAGAACTCAAAACCCCAACAGTTTCTCAGAAGAAAACAATCAGGAGATATTCTGATGATCATGAAATGAGAAATGAAATATATCACAGGAAAATCATCTCTTGGTTTGGTGATTCCCCTTTGGCTCTCTTTGGTTTACATCAACTAATAGAATATGGAAAGAAGTCTGGGAAAAAAGCCGGAGATTGGTATGGACCAGCTGTGGTTGCTCATATTTTAAGGTAAAATTGTATTAAAATCTTTCATCTTACGACAGAGGTCCTTAGGCTCAGAGATACTGATTTTTGCAGTGCATATATGTAATTGGAACTTTTAAAGTCTTACTGTTTGAGAATATTCATAAGGAAGCATTCATTTGCTAAAAACAAGACATTGTAACTCTAGTTACATTTAATATATCTGTGACAAATTTTTCCTTTTTTGTTCATTGGGATAGATATCCAGGGTCTCTTTCTAACCAGATTTTCATTAGACTACCTTATTGGAATGTTCTAAAAACTAACAACTCTTTCAACCTTGGAACATGCATAACATTATAGTTTTTTTTTTTTTTTTTAATAGTGTAACCTGGGGGCTGTAATGTACTGATAGTGTAATGAAATGTCAAGAGCTAAAATTGATGTTTTCAGCATTTCTTTGCACACATCAAATTCTTGTGAATTGTAAATGTATGGGACTATTAATATTATAATTATATCATAGTAAAAGTAAAGGGTCTGTGACATTCAGAGTAGTTAGAAAAAAGTCGAAAGTCAAATCTCACTGTACCTCAGCCTTTTATGTGCCATTTGGATACTGCTTAATTTAAAAAAAAATTTATCTTATTTGTTGTGTGTCCCATTGTTGTAAATGGAATCATTAATATGTCACCCAAATATAGTATGTTATAGTAAGTTTACTCCATTTAAAATAATATATAAATTAGAAATTATTATAAATTTTTTTGCGTATTAGCTGGCTTTTATATTTTATAGGCCAGATGCTTACAAATGGAAATGTATTTGTCTAATGTTATTAAATGGATTGTTAATAATAATATCAAGTCCTGCTTGGTATGATATTTATAAAAGCATAATTATAAAAGCTTAGTTTCTACTCTTCAAGGTATTATGTTCTATACCCCAGGGATCAGAACACTTTTTCTGTAAAAGGCCTCATGGTAAATATTTTAGGCTTTACAGGCTATAAAGAGCTCTGTTGACCATTTTTCTTTTCTTTTTTTGTTTTACAACCCTTCAAAACTGTAAAAGCCATTCTTAGCTTGCAGGTTGTACAAAAATAGGCCACAGGTTGTATTTGGCCTATGGGCCATAGTTTGCCAATCCCTCTTCTAAATTAACACATACAAACATAAATAATAAGTCATGTGAAATTAAAAAATTATAAAGATACAGTTAAATAAAAATATTTCTACTTCTCTAATTTGTGTAATTTCTTTTTACAGATACTGTGACTTTTTTCAAATCATTTGCACCATTGAGAACATTCTATTCATTCAGAAATATTTTTCAACTTGCAGTTTTACTTATAGAATTCTACGACTCAAAATTAGGAAATTCATTTGTTCAGGTTACATAGGTTTTTGAGTGAAGGGGGAAAAAAGTCATGCATTTATTTATTTATTTATTTTAAACATTTATTTATTTATTTGAGAGAGAGTGAGCGGGAGGAGGGGAGAGGCAGAGGGAGAGAGAGAGAGAAAAAATCTCCAGCAGACTCCCCGCTGAGCATGCAGCACATCTGGGGCTTGATCTCATGACCCTGAGATCATGACCTGAGCCGAAATTGAGTCCAAGGCTTTACCAGCTGAGCCACCCAGCCACCCTGTAACTTACAGTTTAATGTTCTTTGAGTAATTTATTTTTTAAAAAGATTTTATTTATTTATTTGACAGAGAGAGAGAGCAAGCACAAGCAGGGGGAGCGGCAGGCAGAGGGGGAGGGAGAAGCAGGTTTCCCGTGGAGCAGGGAGCCTGATGCAGGGCTCGATCCCAGGACCCTGGGATCATGACCTGAGCCACCCAGGCACCCCTTTTTTGAGTAATTTAGTGTAATACTCTACTTAGAAAGGATTGACCAGATTTTGATACCATTCAGATAATAGTTTTGAAAGCAGACACTATAGGTTAAATAAGTAAAAAAAAAAAAAAAAAGATGGCTTTCTTTCCCCTTAAATCTTTTATTTATTTATTTATTTTATTTATTATTTTTTTTAAAGATTTTATTTATTTATTTGACAGAGAGAGACACAGAGAGAGAGGGAACACAAGCAGGGGAAGTGGGAGAGGGAGAAGCAGGCTTCCTGCTGAGCAGGGAGCCTGATGCAGGGCTCGATCCCAGGACCCTGGGACCATGACCTGAGCTGAAGGCAGATACTTAACGACTGAGCCACCCAGGTGCCCCTCTCTGGTTGTTTTTCAGATCATTTCTTTGTCTTTTGTGTGAACTTTATTTTACTCTACTTGGAATTCATATCTTTCTTAAAATCTGAAATATTTTCAACCACTTTTAATTTATATCTATTCCCCATTCTTCCCATTCTTTCCAGCATCTCTGATAAATCTTTGTTAGATTTTTTTTCGTGTCTCTGAAATTCTTTGGTTTTTCACATATTCTATTACTTTGTCTCTCTGTGCTGTATTCTGAGTAACTTTAGCTTTTAAATTATCTCCTAAGTGGTGTATAATTTTCTGTTTAATCTTACACCAAATTTCTTTTTTTTTTTTAAAATTTTTTTTTAATTCTTATGTTAATCCCCTACATTATTACATCATTAGTTTTAGATGTAGTGTTCCATGATTCATTGTTTGTGCATAACACCCAGTGCTCCATGCAGAATGTGCCCTCC